GAAAATACTACTCCTTAAATGAAGATGCTTAAAATCTCTATAGAATCATGGAATGGTTTGGATTGGAAAGGACTCTAAAGATCATTCAGTTCCAATCCCCTGCCATGGGCAAGGACACCTTCCACTAGACCAGGTTGCTCAAAGCCCCATTCTCTCTGGCCTTGAACACTTTGTTTGAAAGTATTCTTGATGGCTGCACTGAGATGCTTTAGATAAATCTCCAAGTAATTGCTACATAGCTCAGATTTTAATGTTGCTTTGATCTAGAATGGGGTTTCTTCAGCATAGATGTTATTGTGCATTAAATGTACATGCAAGTTCCAAAATCCCCATTCGACTGGATAAAGCCAGCCGTGGGCGTGCACACTGTTTGGGAAACATTCGTATTTAATTCACAACCCACAAAATTCTTTCAGCCCAAAAAAGTTGTAGGAAGAGATTAATCTTCAGAGATCCCCCGGGGAGACTTACACAGCTAAGCTAGTCACCCCTAACTCCCTTTTATATATAAACTCAACTGCTTTTAGCACATGATTCATTCGATCTATTTGAGATCTGCTTTGGGTTGTGAGGCTCCATGACTCCAAAGGAGCCTGTTTTCCCACTTTGCTGTGCCCAAAGCAAAAGCCAGCCAGCTCCAACACCAGCAGAGATCTGTGTGTGTCAGCAGATCCCACCTCTGGCCCTGGTTACCAGTTAATGGATTTTTACCAGTTGGAAATAATTCAGCATGTCAGGTTTTATAGTGACTTATTCACAGCACCCAGACACGCAGGGAAGGAGGGACCCTTCATCACTGCTGGGATGGGTCACAGTGAAAGGCAGGACTGGGGAAACCAGGATGTGTGTGTGCTTACTGCCAGACACTCACACAGCATGGGAGCTGCTGCCAGTGTTGGCTCCTGAGCAGGAGATTCGTGAATCCTCAGCCCTGGGGGTCTGTGCAGTGGGAAAGGGGCCAGCAGCACGCTCTCAGCAGGAACCAGCGTCCCTAAGAGAAGGTGCTGCAGAGCTGCCGCAGTCAGAGGGAGTGCAATGGGAAAACCTTGGGATGCTAATTAATCCCCCTTTGGGAAGATATTTATTAGGCAAATGCCTCACATTCATATGCACATCTGCAGTCAACAAAGAGGCTTTTACTTTTTCCCCAGCCCAGCAAAGCAGGAGGGTGGGAGGTTGCTGCTACCAAACAGCCAGAGGTGCTGCGGGTGCTAACCTGCTCAGAGTGTCTTGGGTCAAGTGTGAAAAAAACAGCTGAAATTACCAAGGTCAAGGTTGAAGGAGAACCTGGAGGCAGTTGAGAAGTTCTTTAAACCTGAATATCTTCTCCCCTGCTCACTGATGGAGACATTGCAAAGGACAGGGTGGGAGCCATCCCTGATAGACAGCCTCCTCCTGCTGGGATGAGCTGTTCCAGAATTACTGCATTAATATAACCTGGGGCAGCTTTTGCTGTCAAACAGTTAATTGCTGAGGTTGATAGATCCAGCCCCTAATGAGCAAACGGTTGTGGCTGCTTGCAGCTTTTGCAGAAGAGGCAGCAGGGCCTCTCCTTGTCCAGCAGACACTGAGCAGCAGGTCACAGAGGTTTGCCTTGGTGCTCCCCACTCCTTAGGTACAGGTGCTTTGGGAGAGCAACTGCTCTTCCTGAGTTGTTTCCCTAATCTGCAATCACACAGACCTCACTGCTTCAAGAGCTACAGCAAAATCTGGCTGGAAGATGTTTCAAGTCATGCAAAGCCCAGAGTTGCACAGAAAACCCAAAATTTCAGACAAAGAGCAGGGCATGATCTTGTCAGCAGGGGAATTGGTAATTCTGTTCTACATTTGCTGGGTGTTTCCTAGGGCTCATGGGAGGGAGTGACTCCCTTTCACCCAAGATGAGAGCTGCTGATTTGGGAAGGATAAATAATGGCATTTCCATGGCTTACTGGTTTGATGTGCTAATCCAAAGCAAAGTCAGCCTAAAGCAGACCTGCTGAAGGCAAAGCATGTTTCTTACTGAAATACTCAAATCTCCTCAGCCCCCAGAGTAACACAGCCTGCCCTCATTATTCCAGTCCCTTTTCCCCAATGTACCAACGGATCAAACATCTGTACCATCGCCTGGTTTACACTGAGCAGTGAGAGCTACTGAGAGCACTGGCAAGACATTCAAACTTTAAACTGTCCATCTTAATTAAATTAGTTCTCCCTGTGAGGTTCAGCAGTCGGTCATGGCATGTGGGAGATTTACCCTCAGGTCCTGAAGGAGCAGAAGTAAACTCAAGAGTAAAATCCTCAGTGACTTGGGATGACAACTGTGTTCTTAAAGACCAAAAGCTCTTGGCAGAGCAGTTGCCTTGCCAGCAAGCTGCTCTTAACAATATCCTTTTCATTCCAGGGACCCAAATCTGCCGTCTGTGAACCTGACTGGCTTTTGCAATGGATTTCAGAGAGGCCCTTAATTTTCACTGACATTTGCTTCGGTCAGTCACAGCTTTCAACTCCTCCTTCCCTCCTCCCCATTGTGCAGCACCCCCAGAACCTCCCCTTCACTCCCATTTACAGGAAAAGCTGAATCCTGGCTTTGTAATAATAAAGGTAAAGTTTGGCATTCATACAGTGAGTAAAGACTCAGGAAATTTGGTCCAGTGCTTTGTGCCTTCTTTGAGTCACTGCATGATGGTGCACAAATCACTGCATCCCTCTGTGCCTCAGTTCCCTTGCTGTGGCCAAGGATGATACCCCCTTATCTTGGGGGAACAGGAGATATTCATTACTGCTCATAAGATGCTCAAATGTGGCAGCATAAATAGTAAACAAGTATTTAGTGCTTTTCCAAAGCACTGCAAACACTCAGGTCCATAGCCCAGGACTGGGAGCTCCCTTGGCTGCTACATAACTGCAGTAGGTTGTTTGTTTTTGTTTTTTTTTTTTTTAAGGAATGAGTTGTTTTTATTACTGTAATTTCATAAATAAGGAATACATCTGACTAGAAAGGATGAAACAAAAATAAAAGCCTGATTAACCCAGGCATATGGGAACTAAGCATTATCTTAATTATATTTCTGAAACAGCAACCTCCTATCTTTGGCCCAAAGATTTCAGAATTCAAAGGCAAACACTGCCCTGATTTTTCAGCTTTTTTTCCCTCATCCACTGACTCTGTGTTGGTGAATTTGGAGCTTCTAGGTATCTCCCAAGTGCAGGAGTCCGACTGCTCCTTCCTTGCTGAGAGGAGATGTTAGGGGGGATGCAGGGTTGCCATGTGCCTTGCCTCTCCTCACTGGGGTGACCTCCCTCCCATGGGAGGCTCCACTTTTGAGCAGGAGATGATCTTTTGGCCAACACATCCACTATTGTACCTATGCCACGATGCCTTTTATAATCCTGTATTTTGATCTCCAGTGCAGACAGTCAGAGGCTCTGGGAGCTGGGGGTCGCTCTGGCTGCAGTTGCAGGTGATGCTCGTTGGAAAGGGGAGCTCTGCAGGTGCCCAAGCAGCCTTGCAGTTCTGCAGTGCCTGGTCACGAGCAGGTTCCACAGCGACCCGAGGAGCAGCTTCTCACCAGGGATGCCCAGCGCAGCGCAAGCCTGTGGGGTGCTGGCACAGCTCCTCTGGGTGGGAAGTCTTCCAAGTCCTTATCTAAACCTTCCCCCCCCTCCCTTCTCTCATACTCCTGAACTATTTTTAATAGAAAAGTGAAGCAATGAAACCACTATGAAATCATCACAGCGAAATAAAGCTTTAGCTTGAAGCCAAGATCCAGTCACTGCATCTTCCTGAGGACCAAAGCATAGCCTGTGAGCTCCAGGAAGGCAAATCCCGCAGAGTTCCAGTGACACAGCCTCACTCCCTGATGGCAGAGCGCGTCTCCCAGGACATGCAGGGATAAAACTTGCAGGGAGGGTGCACGGGCGCATCTCACAGGGACATGTGCACCTGGCAGGGGGATACGGGGATGTTAACGAGAGATGACTACACGGGGGGTGCACAGGAGCACCTTACCGGAGCAAGAGGCACAGACGAAACTTTCATGGGGTGTATGGGTGCACCCTGCAGGTGAAGGCATGGCTGAGGCTCGCAGCAGTTGCAAGTCCCGGGGGGATGCACAGGTGAAGTTTGAGGAGAGGCACAGCTGCTATGGCTGGGGGCTGTCACCGGGCAGGAGGAGGCGCAGACGGAGCTCTCGGGGGATGCACCCCACGGGACTGGGGGGTTCCGGGACCTCCCGTCTCCCCGCCCAGCATCCCCCGCCCACCCCGTCCCTGCACCGGCCGCGCACGGCGCATGCCTCGGGCAGATGCCGGCCGGTTCCAACCGGGAGACGCCGAAGCTTTTCGGGTCCTTCGAAGAGGAGGAGCCCGTCCTCCTCCCTGCGCATCCCCCCTCCCCCTCCATCTCTTCTCACCGCCCCGCGGAGGGGCGCGGGGGCGGCTGGGCCGGCAGCGCTCTCGCTCTCTGCACCGCGCAGCGGCGTGGGCACTGCCGGAAAAGTTACTGACCGGGGGGCGCTGAGGGATGGAGAGGGGCATTTACTTGGGTTTGGGACCAGCCGGGGCCGCGCGGCTGCACCTCCCAGGCCGTTCCGCCCCCGCAGAGCGTTCCGCGCGGGATGGCGGAGCGGGGCCGCGCTCCGCGGAGCTCCGCGCCGGGGCCGCGCCGCCGCGAGGAAGGACTCACGGCGGAGCAGCCGCGCCGCAGCCCGCCGGGACATGGTGCGGAGCCCGCCGGGACGCGGTGCGGAGCCCGCCGGGACGCGGTGCGGAGCTCGCCGGCCGGCCCTCCCTCCCCGCGGCTCCGCGTTCCCGCAGCGCCCTGCGCAGCTACGCGCACCCGCAGGGACTACTCCAGAAATCTGCTGAGTGCACAGTGCGTTCGCAGTAGATAAACAGACACATAAAAAATAAATTAATAACCCTCTTCCGCGTGCACCGATGTATGCGGGCAGGGATGCGCGGCCCCAGACTCTCCGCGCAACCCCGCGCCGTAGTAATTTGCAAGGGGCGGTGCAGGGATGGGGGGGCGAGGGGGAGGTGTCCCGCCCCCCCGATCACATGGCGACCCCGCGCAGCCAATGCGGGGGGCTCTAGGACCCCGGGGACCCGCGGCCCCCCCGCCCTATAAATGCCTCTCCAAAATGCAGCGGGGCTCCTTCCTCTCGTCCCGCCCGGCCGCGCTGCTCTGCGCCCCGCTGCCCGCGGGTCTCCGTGCCGGCTCCGCGCCCCGCTCCTTCCCCCTCCCCTTTTTCCTTTTTTTTTTTTTTTTTTTTTTTTTTAACCTTATCTTTTTGTTAATTTTCTGACATCTCCCCTCCCGTTTTTCTCCTCGCCCCCTCCCCGCGGCCGGTTTGCATGCATTGTCTGTCTCCCAAGATGGTTTGTGAGACCAAGATTGTGGCGGAAGATCATGAATCAATCCCGGGATCTAAAAAAGACACGATCATTGTTTCCTCCTCTCAGATGTGGCCCTCTTTGGCGGGCTCCCCTCCCTCACCCCCACCTCCCCTCACCCCACCAAAAGAAGACCCCAGGCGCGACAATGTATATATCCGCGAATTCCACCCCTCTGAACAGGAGGTGGTGCGCCGCATCTTTTACGAGGGGATCATGGAGCGAATCCCCAACACGGCGTTCAGGGGGCTGAAGCAGCAGCCCCTCACTCAGCTGCTCTACGGGCTGCTGGCGGGTGAGTATCCGCTCCCTTTTGGGGAGGGGGGCGCCGGGTTTATTCGCCGCTGTGGGTCTTCACAAAATGGTCGGAGAGGCGGGAGGCGCCGGGGACCGCGGGCGCGGTGCGGCCGGGGAGCGCCGCAGCATCGTGCGGGGCGGCCGCGGAGCCGCAGCGCTGCGGCGGGGGCAGGCGGCTGGAGGGGGAGCCTTGCGCCGCCGGGGATGCGCGACCCTGCGCGGGTGTTAAGGGCGGGGAGCCGTGAAGGGGAGGTCGCGGCGGGGGTGAGGGCACATCAGTCATTCTGGTTATTGCAGGGCTCGGGGGTGCGCGGAGGGGAGCGGAGAGCACCGGCCGCCCCCGCGCAGCCCGGCGAGGGGGTGCACGGCGTGCCGGCGTTGCCTGGAGACAGCCGGGCCCGCCAGTGAGCGGCCCCCATTCCCCCCCGGCGTGGGGAGGGGGTACCCCTGCAGCCGCACCGAGCAGCGGGGTCACCTCACCTCCCAGAGTTAAAAATAGCGCTTGCAAGGTGTCCCCTCCATATGCCAGTAATTAATAATGCGCGTCCCCCGCCCCGAGAGGGCTTTGGGTGGTCTCCTGCCCCCGGTGGCTGCAGGCTGGTGGCACCCCATGTCCCAGGCACCGGGGAGGACGGGATCCCACGCTGGAGGGGGGACCCCCGGCAGGCGCTGGGGAGCTGGGGGAGCCAGCCGGTGGCTCTGGGCCGTGCCGGAGAGAGCCGCCGGCTCAGAGACACCCGCAGAAGCCCCCCGGGGTGGGAAGGAGCAGGGTGCCTGCCGGGGAGTCGGTGTTGGTGGAAATAGCACTGCCGCAGTGGCGAACACATGGCTGCGGAGCGCTGCCCGCAGCGCGGCTCCTCCACCCGGCCGCGTTCCGGCCTCGCCGGGGACAGCGAAGGGGGCCGGGGGGTGCGGGGATCTCGGGGTCCCCACGGCTCCGCTCCGGAGGGGCTCGGTGGGCCCTGGCGTGGCGTGGCGGCATCCTCCCCCACCGGTTCCTTCAGGACCTCATAAACTTCTCCGGGTTATCTCGTCGCGATACGCCGTGCCTTAACACGATAATCTCGAGAGCGTGAACTCTGTGTACTGCAAATGTATATTTTGATTGTGCTTGTTTTATTGATTTATTTTTGTAATGAGTTTGTATTCCGAAATCAACACTAAATTCTCTTTTCTGACAGGTGTCGTTTATTTCTCTTCCTTATCTCCATAGTAATGTGCTTTGTTGTGACCAAGTCCTTCCTGCTGACCTGCTGTTTGCCCATCTTTCTGATGGGCATGAGGTACTACTTCAGTAGAAAAGTTATCCTGCACTATCTCGATTGTGCGCTGCACACGGACATGTCCGATATTGAGCAATATTACATGAAACCGCCAGGTGAGTACGAATTCCCTGAGGGAGCCTTCCTCCCCCCAGCCTGCTGGGGAACATGGCTGCTCCCTGCTGCTGGCGCCTTTTCCTCCTGTCAGCAGCACTGAGCAAGCTCAAAAGTCGCCAGAATGCAGCTCTTTAGCCACACCAGGCACAAAGCCATTTTTGGTTTTGGTTTGGTTTGGTTCTTTTTTTTTTTTTTTTTTTCTTTTTTGCTGATTTTGGTTTCTTTAATTTTTTTTTTTTTTTCATTACTCCCCCTCCCCCAAGTGCCTAGTCATCCCAGGCAGCCTCTGTCCACCCCTGGAGTGCCGTGCTGCTGGGTCCCACAGCCACCCCAGGACTGGGGTGAGGGTGCCTGGGGACACTGAGGCTGGAGGATGTGGCTTATTCACTGCAGCCTGGGCCCACCCCAGCCCTTACATCCTGAGCTCGATGTCTTTTTGCTCCATGCATTTGGTATTGGCTCTGACTGCAGGAGGAGAGGGAGATGAAAGGCCTTTTAGCCCAAATGCTCAGAGGAGCCCATTTTAGCTATTGAGCCCATTTTCCCATATCATTCAAGAACATTCCTTAATGCAGGTGTTTTGGAAGAGGTGTGGATCAGGTATGTAAAGGGCTGCTGCCACATAAGCTTGCCCTAATATGGGTTCATCCCTTTGTTCCATATATGCATGTAATTAAAAAGACAAAGTCTAATAATATTACCTTATTAAGCTGTAAAAGATAACTTAAGCCATTAAAAAGAAAAAAAGGGTCTTTAGAACCTGTCAGGTGCTATTTCCCTTTTTGTAGGCACGCATCCATATTGAGGACAAGACCAGGGGGATGCCTGGGCAGTCAGCTGGGGTTTGAGGTTTGCTTTTGGTGGTCACAGAGTGCTAGTGGTGAGCTGGAAAAGCAAGGCAAGGATGGTATCCCTCCTGAGTTCCATCTTCTTGGGGTACCTGCTCTCTCCTTAGGTACCTACTGTGTTGTTTTTCCATGTGATGGAGTTTTTGCTGTATCATTTGCTGTATCATTCCTGTTCCCCAGGTGTGACAAACCTCTCCCTGGGCAGTTCTAGGGAACTGCTAGGCAGTGTAATAGCCACAAGCCTTCCCTCCCTTCTAATATGCAATGTTACATTTTGCTAAAATGTTGTTTCTCTTATGAAAATCGTGAAGAAGCTTAATTTAGTTTTCTCTTCCCATCATAGTGCATATTTTACACAGATCTTGTCCCATATTACACACAGTTTGTTTCATTTACAGAGCTTGTTTTTGTAAAAAATTAAGTGATGTGTGACTTGTAATTAAAAAGCTCAATCTTCATTAAAGGTGGTGTCGCAGAAATAAAAGGGTTCATAGCAAAACATTGCTGTACATCTGTAGTGAGGCCAGCAAAGTTTTATGTTAGAGAAAACAGCAGAAGATTCCAGTAGGATAAGAGTTAATAGGTGAGCTGCTTAGCTTGTTAATGCTCAGGTCACAATTGAGAGGGATCACAGTGCCTGTGTTTATAACACTAGCAGACACAGAAAATAAAGGAAAGGGACTCAAAGTAATGCCCTCAATTTGTTTAGGGTCAGTAGTGTAATTTAGTTCAACTGTGTTGCCAACATGTCTTTGAAATGTTAGCATTGCTTTTATTTGGTGCCTGAAAGAGCTAATTGCAATTTTAGAGCAAATGTGTGGGCTTTAATTTTTGACAGAATTTAATCATGTAATTAGGCTTCTGCCATGCCATAAAAAGCAGATTTATGGGATTGTTGGTGATTGTTGAAGGTTCTTGATGATAGTGGTGTTGGATACAGGGTCCAGGGAGGTTTTGGGGTCTGGAGAAGGGTGTGTGTGTGTGTTGGAACCAGCACCATCCATGTGCCATAAATCCATGTGGTGCTATTTGGTGTAGCTGGCCACAAGGCATGAATCCAGTGGTTTGCCCCTATTTCCTCCAAAAATGCAGTTAGTGGATTTTTTTCCTATAGGACAGCAGTATAAACACAGTTATCCTAGAAAATGCCAGAGTTTTGTGCACTTTGAAGGCTGGCTGGCTGAACATCCAGAGGAAGGCAGCAATGTGCCACACTGACATTGCCTGTCCCACCCAAAGGACAGAACAATGGCAATAAAACAAATTCAAGCCCCAAGTTTGTCTTTTATTTGCCTAGTTTACAAATTAGCACCCAGGCAGAAATTACTGCAGTGGGAATGAGAATGGCTCCTTGTGTTGTAGCAGCTGAGATGTTTGTGAGAGCTTTCTCAGTGAGGTGTTAAGAGAAGAGTAATGGGGTGTAGGGACAGGGTCCCAGAGGGGCTGGAGATGGCCAGAGCTTGACTAGAGAAGTTAAACCCAACCTGATATAACTGCAGTTTGGCCTGGGAGTATGACCAGGCGACTTGCTGCTCCTGCTTTAGAGAATACATGTTTTCCTCCTTCAGTATTTTTTTTCTCAGTACAGAAAAAAGAGGAAGGGAGCATTTTTGTGGTGGGGTTATAAATTCCTGTTTCTCAGGGTGATGAATGCAAAGGTAGAACTGGGACATGGTCTTAAGGTCTTGGATAAAGATGTTGGTTGTGGCTTTGCTGAGGTTTTTGCCCTTGGAATCCAAGATACCCAAGCACAAAAACCTGCTGTTTGCAGCCAGCTCTGTGTGGTGCCTAGAGCTAGGGTACTGTTGTAGTGAGTATCTACAGCAAATAGGTTCTGGTAAGCAGGCTTCTATAGTGAGGGGATATTTTAACTATTAAAATGGATCATTCTTTGTGGTATTGTGAAAGCATCCACAGGACATTTGGGTCAGTTCTATAACCAAGCCAAAAGGACTGGGTTTGCAGAGGGATACCATGAGCACCCGGGTTAATGATTAGTGTTGAACAATTCCATGAGTTGCACCATATTAGGGTTTTTCTTCTGCAGTTTTTTTGAACCTCTCACCTCCGTGTTAGTTATTGTTTGAATTTTCCTCTGCTGGGTTTTGTATGAACTGAAAAATATGTGCTGACAGTGATTTTGCAGAAGTACACTAGCCAAAATTCAAATCTTTGTTTTCTATTGCCCTCCTACACTTATGCCAAGGGTCTGGCAGAACATTTGGGCCAGTGCTTGACTTGGAGCGGTGTGACTTGAAATTGTTTCCAATGCGAAAGGAATTGTTTGTGTTGAGTGAGTGCTGGGGTCTTAAAACAGAAGGTTGCATGGTTCAAACACCTTCCTGAGCTCTTTGTAAACTCACATTTTTCATTTTAAAATAGCACTTATTGGAATTTACCTTTCTTTTTTTTCCTTCTTCAAAGGCTATGAAAAAAGACTGGTGGAATTGTGAAAAAAGAAAGGAATTGGATAATGGGCTTAATTGTCAACCAGAGTAACAAGCTCTAGTAAACAGAAAAAACCCCAACCAAAACCAACCACAAAAAGGAATTAATGTTAAATAGAGCCCTGCCTCTTGCATTTATCCACACAAAAAAGATGAGCACAGCTGGAGTTTCTTTTATGGTCTGATGATTTTGATGACTAATCAATTTTACAGTGTCTCTTCAAGCTTCTGTCCCAGTTGGTTGTGTTGTATGTTTTTTTGCAGTGGTTGGTGTGTTAGAGAGTTTCTTGTGAGGCTGAGTTCTCAGCTGGAGAGCTTGTGGAAACCAAGACTCCTTGTGTCTCATGCAAAACTGCCGCTCCCCAAAGCGACGGGAGCTGGGGCTTTGGCTGACGAACTTATGAATTTCCGTGTCTCTGTGGTTGTTCAAAGAGTTGCTGCTGGCTGTCCTGGCAGGGTTTGTTGAGGTGTGTGCCTACCTGACCTGGTGGTGGTGCAAAGACCTGGTGGTTGTGGTGGTGGCGGCAGCTGGCCTGGGCCAGGTTTTGGGAGCTGGTGACGAGCTTGGCAGCTGCATCGCAGTGCCCGGTGCTGCAGGGGAGGGTGGACAGGCAGCACGGATGGGCAGCCTGGGGAGCTGAGGCTGCAGCACTTGGTGGGTGTTGGGGTCCCAGGGATGCAGCAGCTGGAGCTGGAGGGCTGCTGCAGGCAGTGTCACAGCAGCCACCCGTGCTGGGGCCCGTGGCAGCTGCACGGCTCCAGCTCCTGCTCTGGGGCCCGTGGCAGCTGCACGGCTCCAGCTCCTGCTCTGGGGCCCGTGGCAGCTGCACGGCTCCAGCTCCTGCTCTGGGGCCCATGGCACTGCATGGCTCCTGCTCTGGGGCCCGTGGCAGCTGCACGGCTCCAGCTCCTGCTCTGGGGCCCATGGCAGCTGCACGGCTCCAGCTCCTGCTCTGGGGCCCGTGGCAGCTGCACGGCTCCAGCTCCTGCTCTGGGGCCCGTGGCAGCTGCACGGCTCCTGCTCTGTGGGCAGCCAGGCACCTCTGGTGGCCTCACACAGGGAGGGAATGGGTGCTTTGCTCTCCTGCCTCCATCCAGGGTGAGCAGAGCCCTCCTGTCCTGCTGCCCTTTGTCCCCTGAGTGTGACAGGGCACGGGAGGAGCCTGCTCAGGTATCCCGGCCTCCCTGAGGGTCAGGGCCCTGAGGAGCAGGGCCTGCAGGGGGACGGCTCATTAGGGTTCAGTTTCTGCTGCGCTTGGGTGGCACATTCCTCGGCTGAGCCCAAAGGGGGGATGTCCTGCCCTTCTTGGCAGAGGTTCTGGGATCATGCCCTTCTGCCGGAAGGACACCGGTTGAGGCAGGTCCAGAGCTGGGTTGTGAGCAGGTGAGATCCTGTTTGCTCCCTCTACTTTTTGAGGTTTCCCACACCTGCAGTGAGGTGTCTGTGTGGGTAACAAGTATTTGTGTCTTGCATCAGGCCGTTTGGCAGTGGGTTTTTTCCCTCTGGCGTGGTGTTTGCAAGGTGAACAGCTGCTTGTGATCCGTGTGGCTCCTGCTACCTCTGCTCCATAAGTGCTGAGCCTTGGGGAGGCTCAGAGGTGAGCACCAGTGACTTTTGGGGTGCAGGGAAAATACAGGGTCTACCCTGGGAGCAGATCCTCAGCCCTAGAGCTGTGGTTGCTCTGCCATGCCTAAACCCTTCCA